CAGACGTTCGTTATTCATGGACAAGTGAAATATTGGAAATACATAACGTTATGAAACTAAAGTCAAAGTCAAAGTCAAAGTCAAATCGTTTATTTCAATTAGACCATCTAAAATGGCACTTTTGAACGTCAAAAAAAAAAAAAATATAAAGATGATTCTAGTTGCCCCTTCCAAAAGGTAGTTTCGTGTGGAGAAGAATGGGCAAGAAACTCCACACTTACTCTTTTAAAATAGGTTTACAATATTTTGTTACATTTGTTAAATAATTATATGTGAAGACAATGTACTCTTAGAATTAACTACTATACTAAAAAAGTTAGTATACATGTTCCTCACATATTTACAAATATCGAAACCTTAGAATATTGACATTAAAGAGTAATAAAAATATTAAAAAAACACAACAAAACAGTGTGTGAGATACAAAAAAAAATAATTACATTTGTAGCATTATATAAATTAAAAAAAAAAAAATAATAACAAAAATTAACATATTTTTTTTAGCAAAAAATCAGCAACCAATTTGATTTTGTCCAGGCTATAGAGCCAATCATAGGATTGTCCTATGGAGCAGGACCAGCATGTTTCCAAGCATTCTTATCTTGAATATAATCATCTAATTTGTAATATGCTTGTTTACAAAGTGTACTTTTAATAAAACATTTAAATTTTCGTTCATTTAGTTTTAAAATGTCACAAGGTATTTTATTGTAACATTTCACACAGTACCCCATAAATGAATTTTGAACTTTGGCTAATCTGAAAGATGGTTGAGCTATTTTATCTTTATTTCTAGTACTAAAATTATGTCTTTCATTTATTTTACTAAAAAAGATGTAGATTCTTTCTTACATACATAATATTTTCATAAATGAATTGACAAGGTACTTTTTATATTAATCTTTTTTAAATAGTTCCCTGAGAGATTCGCAACGACGTAGATTATAAATGGCTCTGACCGCTCTCTTTTGCAAAATAAAAATGGATTCTATGTCAGCAGCCCGACCCCACAGTAAAATGCCGTAAGACATTATGCTGTGAAAGTAGCTAAAATAGACCAAACGCGCTAGGTAACTGAAATGAAAACATATATTACATAAGCATTATAAACTTAGTTACTTTTATTTTTAATTGTTCATTATTTAATTGCAGGTGTGTCAGAGAAAATTGTGACAACATTTACAAAAGAAGGTATAACAGCGACGAGTACTTCGAAAAAAATTGTCACCAGTGAAGAATCGCCCGCATCCGAAAAAGTATCAATATGAAAAAGAATAATTATATCTACGGCTAGTGATACTGAAACAGAATCTGATTGTTTCCATCCACTCTTCAGACAGTAATGTTCCTATGGCCGCTGATCACAAGTATTCAATAAAACTCTGGTTTAAAAAATTGTACGAGGGCGGCACTGAAAATTTCGGGAATCAAGGAAGTGACACAACATTACTATTTAAAAATGTATTTATTGCTTTTCGAAGTATTCTCCGCGAAATTTGACACATTTTTCATACGATGGAACCAATCATTGAAGCAACCATTCCATTCGGAAGTTGGGGTCTCCAAAATGGCCGTTTTGTAGGCGTCCACAGCTTCTTCAGGTGATGAAAATCTCTGACCGCGCAATTTATTCTTTATTTTGGAAAGTATAGAAATCATTAGGGCTTAGGTCGGGGCTGTACGGCGGATGGTCTAATAATTCTCTAAAACCTCTTCTGTGCGCGGTGTGAGAACAAATGCTAGCATACCATTCTGCATTAACCGTTCTTTGTCCCTCAAGAGGAATAGTCGCAACATGGCCGGTTTTGGAGACAAACGTGGCCACCATTTTTTTTGCAACACTCCGTGAACGAACAATTTTCGTTGGCTTTAACTCATTTTCGAACATCCAAACTCGTGACTGGTTTTTTGTTTCGGGTTCGTACGCGTATATCCAGGATTCGTCACCTGATACAATATTGTATACAGTATTTGAGGATCCTGCGTGGAATCTTTCGAGAGTTCTGACGCACCAAGTAACGCAAACCGCTTTTTGCTCTTCACAGAGCGAATGCGGTATCCATTGGGAAAACAACTTTTTTACACCTAATTGTTCATGCAAGATTATTTGTATTTGACTCATGCCATGGGGATCATCACTGAGCTTGACACGTCCCCGTTGAAATTCAGCAAAACAGCGATAAATTGTGGTTTTGGATGGGGCTTCATCACCAAATGCAGAAGTCATCCGGTCAACACACTGTTTTTGTGATAAACCACTTTGAAAGTCATAATAAATCATCACTCTTGAATTTTCTCGAGTCAATTCCATTTTCTCAACGACTAAACTAGTTTGACAAAACTTTGTGAAAAGACCGAGAATCTTTTTAAAAAAAAATAAATGGTACTTAATCGATTTCAAAAAAAGGAGTTTTTAATTAAAAAGATTTAAATATGACAGGAACAGTGGTATTATTCCATTCCCGATACTTTTAGTGCAGCCTATGTAATGCTTTTCTTTACCCTATTTTCTCATCTGTTCCCTGTAAGTAGGTAGAACACCGCTTATATAAGTAAATAAAAATATACTTTTTACATAACAGAAATATTGTTCCATCGAAGTAAGCAGAAAATAGTATTATTTGATAAATAATGCTAATATAATATATAAAAATATGCTAAATGTAAAATAGGTAAATTTTTTACTCATAAATGGCAACATTTTGTCGCGCGATTACAGCGCTGCGTCAGTGGGGGACTTCTTTGATGAACCGGACTCTACTTTGTGTACATATTTTGTTTTTAACCAGCTTATCCCTTTATTTCCTTTTGATGTCTTTGTTTATTTTTTGTCGCGTGTAGTTTCCCAACCTTTTACTTGAAACTGGCATAAAGTTAAAACTATTGCCATAATATTAAAAAAAAGAAAAAAAAAAGGACTCTACAATCTACATACATAATTACAGCAGATAGCTCAATGGTTACCCATTAATAAACTTAATGAAATATTGTATAAATAAAGATTTAAATAAATGGATTTAATAAGTTACATATTACCAAAAATAATCATACTTGCAAAATAATTTGCACTAAGAAGGCTATTTGTATTCATTACTCATATACAAAGATACTCTGTAGTCTGTAGTTGACGTCGACGGTAGTTACTGCTCTAGCTTGACTTAAAGGTTTCGTTTCGTTACCACTTACCAGGCCATAAAATCTTAAAAAACTGCTCTATCCAGTTTCAACTTTCGGATCTGTTAACATAATATTAAATATTAATATTCTACCTTTTAAGCATTTGAGTAGAGTATTACTCACTGCCGACGTTCAACGTTGCTTTGAGTCTCTGCCCCAATTATCGGTATGTAAATGAAAACGTTAAATGATGAATATATGGTATTTTGTATTTCAGTGATAAACGATGTATGAGAGATGGTATGGGGTTTCTTGATTTATCATGTAGTTATATTATAGTTGGTTTGTGGCTCAAGCTAGTCGGCAGTGATGCATTGTTATGCTTATATTAGTTCTACAGTCTACTGTACCTTTGAGAGAAACATTTGTAGTCATTAGCTTTAACTACGTACTACTTCTAACAAAAGCATTTGAATTAACTTTTTTAGAAAACTAAACTTCTCACTTTGGTCTCATTCAATTGTATCATATCATGATTGACTTTTGACTACTTGGTTATAACTTATTAAGTGTAATTTATGTTTGCTTGCTCTTTTATGCATATAAGAGTTTATTTATAACAAGAACTAAGAGTAATCTATGATTATTATATTTATAACCTGAACTAAATCTCAACATTAACTTAAATAAATAAAAGCAGATCCTTTCCAATCCCAATCGTTCTTGTTTTTTTACTATTTATATCGTATAATAAGGCATTATTTGTGGTAAAAAAATCTCCTCAACTGTCTCCAAAAAAATGACTACATCATTCTGATAAGCCCAAAACTTTACCATCTAGTTTGTACAAAAAAGAACATCAGTCCCTATTGTGTTTGAGATGCATTTAGTAAACCAAAGGTCTCTTTAAACTGACACAAACCCTGGCCATATTGGAAATGCTCTTTTCTATAGTGACTACACAAGTCTTGAAATTAGAAAACCAGAGAATATATGTTGGTGTCTCTAAGACTTATACAGTCACAACAGATTTTGGGCCCAGAATAGACCTTATAATATTGGCCAATCTTATTGTCTATATAACTAATTTTACTCAATATCGACTTATGTGATCACAGTCCAAATCAACATAACCAATTCTGGTTTACCAACTATTTGACTGACTATGAGACTTTCCCTCTAAAAGTGAAACTCTCAATATATCCAGTTCTATTAGTTATAAACTGATCATAGCATATTAGAGTATGTACTAAGTAGTGACTAATTATAATAATGTTTAAGTATCTTATTAAATATTGTAGGTTTTATTCTTAAAATAAGTCAGGTGAAACAACAGTACAACTAGTATTTACTATATTCTACTCTTTCAATTGTATGTTTTATACACATCATTGAAGCTTATAGATATCAGTCAGTAGTGGGCCATGTAATAGGAAATACCCAAAAGTTATTAGTAAATGTTTATAAAATATATTTTGTAAATATATAACATAGTTTCTGTCATAATATATATATGTTTATTTTTACTTTACAGCTTTCCCGTACTTGAACATAAGTTCCATGTGATCCACAGTATAGAGCTATAGATACATATGTTAAGATTGTATAATAATAATTCTCTGTTATTATGATCTACTTGTATTAAAGATATGCTGAAATTGACACAGAGGTTTTGGAAACATACTAACTTTGCATGTAATTTGCATTATAATAGAATAAATTTAAAAGATTATCATCTCCTTACTTTAAGAAGTAGATATCATGTTCTGAATAGTTGTGTTTTGAGAAATCCCTTTATAATTAATTGTTCATGGGGTAGGTTCCTGGCTAGTATTACAAAAGGTAGTAAATACTTCCAGAGGTCTGATAACAAGGAAGACAAAATGGCGGAGGGGACTGGAGAGGTCCCTGTTTGGTAAGTTCTACACTAAAAATTGATGTGCATATTTATATATGTTATTTAAAATCTACAGATATTTTTTTCTCTGGCTTGGAATTCATATCTTAATTCCTTAAAGGCTTAACAAACTCTTATTGGTTGATAGTATTAAGATCCAATATGATTAAGTATATCATTTCAGGACACCTTACCAATCTGATGATGGCATCATTCTTATTTCTTCAAGTTCGTCAACTTGTTCGGATGATCTTGATGATTATAGTCAAAAGCATGAGTATCAATGTTGGGAATCTGATAATGTAACTTCTGGGTGTAAGTCATAAATTTTGTTTGTAGCTATTTAAACTTTGTTTCGAGGCACTTGTACTGCTATGATTTCAAAATGTGTTTATACTATAAAGGCACAGTCTGAAGTCTCACGATAGTTGACCTTGAATCCGATTTTGCCTTTAAAATTATTCATTTTAATTGGAAAATTTTGGGTAGTTTCAGATTCGTTTCGAGTTCTCTCCTACAACGTGTTAGCTCAAAACTTGCTCGAGTGTCATCCTTATTTATACAAAGACTGTACACCAACAAATTTAATATGGGAGGAAAGATTTTCAAAAATCTACAATCAAATAATAAATGCTAATCCTGACGTAAGTTTATCAATAGATATAAAGTACAGGCAATTTTATTTAAATTAAAGGTGTTTTTCAATCTTATCATTTTTACACTAACAAAGAGAACAAATATTTATCACATATCTTTTTCATCAATTTTTTTTTCGTAAATTTAGAGCAGTGTTGGCCTAGTGGCTTCAGCGTGTGACTCTCATACCTGAGGTCGTAGGTTCGATCCCCTGCTGTGCACCAATTGGACTTTCTTTCAATGTGCGCATTTAACATTTGCTTGAACGGTGAAGGAAAATATCGTGAGGAAACCGACATGTCTTAGACCCAAAAGTCGACGGCGTGTGTCAGGCACTGGAGGCTGATCACCTACTTGCCTATAAGATTTAAAAATGATTATGAAACAGATTCAGAAATCTGAGGTCAAGACCTAAAGAGGTTGTAGCGCCACTGATGTATTTTTATTTTATATTTTTCTTCAATTATAATGATGGCCAGAGGTTTCTCAAGGCTGTTCATACAAAGAAAGTAACTTTCAGATTATATGTTTGCAAGAAGTGGAGGAAGCACGTTTAACCGACTTTACATCTAAATTGGAGACGATAGGATTTAAGACGTTTTTTAAGAAAAAAAAGATTAAGCAAGATGGCTGTGCTATTTTCTTTCGTAGTTCGAAATTTGAAATGATAGATAACTTAACGGTAAGTGAACATGTTACCTGTAGCCAGGGTAAGATTTTGAGTCGAAGACTCCGTCTAAGTTAAACTCCGTGGAGTCACACTCGATTCTCGTCTGGGCGTTAGGCCGCACCATTCTTGAAATAACCCGTCGGCTTTGGGACAACTTTATGGACAACTAAATCACGAACATACAGAATATATTCATCAGTGATATACTATACATTTTTTTAAAAACAGGGGGCAAACGGGCAGGAGGCTCACCTGATGTTAAGTAATACCGCCGCCCATAGACATTCCCAGACGGTTAGCAAGTGGGTTGCAGGCCTTTTAAGAATTGATACACTGTGTTCTTGAAGGACCCTAATTCGAATTGGTTTGGAAATACATCATAATAATAATAGGCAGCTGGTTCCACATAGTGGAGGTTAAAAAACGACGGCCGTCGAGGTGATACGGGTAGAATTTCGTATTACCTCGACGTCCGATGATGAAACAGTGCAACGCATATATACTACTACATAGTGGCGCCCACGAACAACTCGCCCGACTCTACTTCGTTCGTTAATTGTGTACAAACGATGGAAATGCTTTAACTAAAGTTGTAGAGAACGCAGTGGCGTAACTATACCATCTGGGGCCTGTGATGGGGCCCTATCAGTTCGTTATATTCAGTTTAATTTTAATATCTAAACTTAGAGATTTTTAGCGTACTCAATTACACGTTGTGTATGTCCCACTAATGGCCATAGGCCTCCTCTCTTAGGCGAGAGGGAATGCACTGTAGTCCCTACACTAGCCCAATGCGTATTAGAGACTTCACATTCATCCATAGAACATAATATCATATGGCATTTTGCCAGCCCTGCCACCCCATTGTTATGCCACTGAGAGAACGTGTATTACAGGTGGAGTTTCACCAACCTAATTTGCCGATACTTAACCGTGACAATGTGGCCTGTTTGGCTAAATTAAAGCTACGAGATAAACCAGACTCTATGCCTATAGTTGTTGTAACAACACATTTACTGTACAACCCTCGACGCATGGATGTCCGTTTGGCACAAATAAGATTATTATTGGCCGAAATCGACAGATTTGCATACTACAATACAGGCCGGAAGTAAGTTTATTATGAAAAGACGACTACGAACGCCAAAAAGCAAAATGTACAAGATTTTTTTAACCCTTATATTTTGAAAGAAAACTAAACAATCCCTTATTTATTCGTTTATACTAATGTCTCTTTTAGAGATAAAATATCACTGTAGGTAATTTTGCAATTCGACCAATTTTTTTTTAAATCGGGTTTCATTTGTTATTTTACTAATTAAAGTTAAATGTTTTTCTCGTCAAATATATTATTTTTTATTTTGATGTTATAATAATTCTTTTTTAAGTATTTCGTATGTATGTAGGCATTAGTTTCTTTGATAATTTTTATTATTTATATACAAGTGATCAGCCTTCAGTGCCTTGTGGTTTCTGGGTTCATGACATGCCGGGTGAACCTCACCGTTGCAGCAACCACAGATTAGACACAGAACACAGAAGACCAATACCTTTTTATTTTGTTATGTGATAACCGTCGCCCATGGACCATGGAACTGAAATGCAACAATGGGGGCTAGCGGGTGTGTTGCCGACCTTTTTGGAAATGGTACGCTCCTCTCTTGAAGGCCTCGGTTTGGAAATACCTCTACTGGCAGCTGGTTCCGAAGAGGTGGTGCGCGGCAAAAAGTGCCATAAAAAGCGCTGTGTTTTGGAAAAAACTGCTCATAATTTAAGTAAATATGTTTTGAAATATACATTTATATATCGCAATATTATTTCAGCCGCGGTCACTGGCCAATTATTTTGACAGGAGATTTCAATTCTCAACCCAACAGTCAGGTTGTACGGCTGATACGTGAGGGATACATTAGGTGAGATTTTCCTTCTAAAAATATAAAATCTATTTTAATCTTTGATGGCTTTCTAAGTTGACAGTGACTAATACATAGGTTTTAAATATACATAATGTAATTAATTCCAGTAGTGTATTTAAAAAAAAAATAAGTGTATAAATGCATGTAAAAATTAAGAAAAATAAATCATTAAAGTTTAGCTACTTTTCATACTAGTTCACTAATACGAATATTTAAGATAAGCACCAACACAACAATCTCTCGTAAAGGGAAGACTTATATCGTCTCCACTTATCACTGTTTAGCACTTAACACTCATTCAAATGGTTTATTAGGTCTTAGCCTCAGCTTTCCGTATCTTTTTTTTTCTAAAGGGCAAGTAGGTAATCAGCCTTCTGTACCTGACACACGCCGTCGTCTAATGAAGTCGTTGGATGCCGGTTTCCTTACGATGTTTTCCCTGAATGAGCGAGTTTTAAATGCGCAAAAACAAAAGTTGGAGCTTGAACCTACGACCTCAAGCATGAGAGGTATAAATTTATTTGTAGTTTTCTCAAGTAATATTCGCTAATAAATGTGTGAAACATAACAAAAATGAATTTAATGATTTTTTCGCCTTTTTGCTGCTATCCCTACCTTTTTTTAATTTGGTAATTTTTACGTTCGATTATTGTGTATGTGTGTAAAATTTGTAATTAAAGTTTTCTCGTGCTTGCATCCCCTTTGTAACTTAGACATAAATTAATAAATTGTTTTAAGAGAAAGTAAATTATTGTAATTTGAGTTATCGGTTGCGGCCGTGCCTTTGGTTTGCCAATTTAAGTAAACGCTGACTAGGGCCAATAAACATATTGGGCCTGTTATTTAGCGACCATTTCGCAACTTTATAGAATTACACATGCATGTTGTACCGTGACTCCACTCCATGAAACCTCATTTTTAATTACTGTGCATACCTTACTGCGGTTTGATAAGATTTTTTAAAAATTACTGGTTGTGGCTTTGGTAATTGGTCCCTACCACAATGAGACGACAAAATGAGTACTGAACCTGAAAGTGTCGATGGTTTACTTCAATATAAACCTTTGGATATGAAACATTCTTAATAATATATTTGCTTTACAGCGACCCGATCGTGAACGAGGACCAATCGGATTGGAGGAACATTAACGTGACTAATCACTGCGAACACCTACCTTTACATATGAACAGACTTTCGGAGAACCTAACGTCTGATTTCAGCATAACACTAGTAATACTTCTATATTTATTTTTATCGATAGATAACGCGAGTTGAAATCATTTGACACAAGTGATGTTATATTGACTATGCTTATTCAGTGCAATCACAATGAAACAAAAAACCGGTGTGGGGCTCAGATTTCTGTATAAAAAAAGCGTTGTTAAGCACATATCTTTAAATGGGTAATTAAGTAAAATCAACAATTTGTAGTTTTCTTCTGTATTTTTTTAGTGTATTTTTTTTATTTATTGTAAAATTTACAAACCGTAATTGTTATATATTTTAGAATAGATAGATTTTAACTGAAAAATGGAAATGTTTATATATAATATTGTGTACTTCAATCAATAAATAATAATTAAAAAATAGAGTGGTGATCTTCTGTGCCTGATACACGCCTGTGCGGCGCACGCGCATTATAAACGAGTGCGCCGCACAGCCGAACCTACTCAGAAAGCCTCTAGCAAACACTTATACATATTTCTTAATTAAAATTAAATTCTTTACATAAAAGTAAATATTGTATTTTTTAGATTCATAATTCGGATTACGGGGAAAGTAATCTATCTGAAGATGAGATGTATAGTAAAAGGGTCCAATTTGAGGAAATGTTCAAAGGAATGACATTGAGACATTCTTTAAAATTTTCAAGCGTATATGATCACGTAAAGAAAAATGGTAAAAAGGAGGGTACAACTTTCCAAAATAGTTGGGTGACTGTAGATTATATATTTTACAGGTGAGCCATATAACATTGATTATTATACTTATTATTAATTTGGATAGTATACATAATATAATAATGCCTTAATAATCTTGGCCTCAGATTGAATCAGCTTCTTTGATCAATTTTATTTTAAAGACAAGTAGGTGATCAGCTGACACTTGTTATCGATGTTTGGGTTTGAGACATGCCTTCACCGTAGGAGCAAGTGCTAATTGCATACAATAAAAATCCATTAATGCAAAGCCATGATTCGAACTCACTGTCTCAGAGATGAGGATCGCACGCCACTGCTCCAATTATACAGAGTTTTCAAATCAGTTGCGTGTCATCAGTCAATTAACATCTTTGTTCATTATACTGGCGGTGGAATACTACCTATCTATCTCATTCACTAACTAATCACTATCACTAAAACATATATTATAGCTCTTTAGAGCGAAAACATATTACTCGAAATGGTTTAACCTAGGGTAGCCAACAATGGTAAGTTAACAAACTAAAGGTGCGCGGGAATCCAATTTTCTAACTCGTCGAATTCGCCGCATTCCTTAAAAACTCCTTACAATAATAATAATAACAATAATTTATTTGCAAGAATATGGTACAAACATGTTATGGTGGTACAATCTAAAGTTCGCATTTACATCTATTTTTTACAGTCATTTATTTTACATACATTTTTTTTTCTCAAGCAATACATACTAAATACTGAGGGTATTTAGTGTATGCACACGGACATTGCACCCATAATCTCACAAAACTGTACAATGTACCTTAAAAAAGTCTTCAATTACAATATTTGTAAATTCATCATTTAATGAAATATTTATATGTTCCAGTAATTTACTGAAATTAGAGGAACGTCTGAGTCTCCCTTCAGTGTCGGATGCAAGAAGAATGGGCCCGCTACCTAACGACAGCTGTGGGTCCGACCACATACCGCTAGCCGCCATGTTTACCTTGCGTAATTTGTCTATGCCTTCATAAAGGCTCACAACCTAGGTTTTATTAACTTGAGTTATTAATACTTGACATGTAATATAGTATTTTATGAACTAGTTACAAAAGTTATGCAATATCGTGTTAGACGATATTTTTTGTGGAAAATACTCTCGGGAAAGTAGTACTATTTTAATAAAATAATGTTTAATCTGTTAATGTTTTTAAAAGTTTATTGTATAATTTATATTTCAAATGCATCTTTTAAGTCTAAAAAGGAAAATTAAGATGGTGTAATATATATATTAATAAAATATATCTATAATAATGAATGGTGAAGCAATAACAAATATATACAAAATGCTTTTAAATACAATTAACTATTTAATTTCTTATGTATTTATTGCCACATTGTCAGTTCGATGAAAATGATAATAAACTTAATTTTTCTTATTAGTCGAACTACCCACCCATTGCATCAAATCATCTTCCCAATTTGTTTTTTTTTTTGTAAGAAAAAATAGGAAATACAAAAAAACTGATTCAATATAGAAATATAAAATGTAGAAATGTACAATTATTTTCATTATATTTGTTTTTCCGACCCTTAAACGTAGCAGGCAATAAAATCAATAAAAAATGATTTATATATAAAGTGTGTTTGTTATGTAATTCGCCTTAAGTATTATCTGTTTTTTTGTTTTAAAACGATAGTTAATATTTTAGAAAGCCTTTTATTTAACTTTAGAGTAAATAAAATTCTTTGGAGTCTCCTTTCTCGACAAGACAGACTAGTTAATATCTTTAACCATGAACAATAATGTAATATGTTTGTATGAATTATAATTATTATATATTAGTATAACGATTTCGACAAAATTAAGTAATACCTAGATGATATTTTAATTATATTTCTACTTGGGAACAGTCGTTTTATACAATGTTAGAATAATTTATTTACTTAACTTATTTAATTATATTTTTAAACATATTTTTTGTGGTTTGTTGGCTATACCTATGGGCTTCCTACCTTAAACAGTTTTTGTAAACCAGTATGGAGAGGGGCTGACAGCGTATTACTATTTGTAATTTTAGCAATTGTATTGTATTTTATTTTATAATTAAGTAATAAATAAATAATTAAATAACCTTATTGATTTCAAATACCTGTCCATATGTTAAATTATTAGTTCTAGTTGGCCATGGGCCTAACGGCCTAATATTCTAAGTTCAATATTTTTTACTATTAGGCCGGGAGATAGTGACACAAAATAGTGGTACAAATACCAGTATGGCGGTATTTCAAGGGTCTTATTACGAAATGTAAAGAAGAAAAATGATGGTCATAGCGCTGGTACCGGCGGCCCAAGCCCGTGGGCGTTAGTCGAACTCGTCGGATTAATTACGACTTTCAAACGATTTGTTTCACAAAAATTCAAGTATTTCCCGATAGTCCATAAAAAAATAAGAGGCGGCAGTGTCATGCCATACTTCTCCGGTGTGACTTACTTGCCATACCGACGCGAATGCGTTGATTTAAAAAAAAAATCAACCATTTGTACCAGGCTAATTTTTGCACAGTAAATCTTCGTCGTGCAGATATTTACGAAAATCACCATGCCATACTTTTCGGACGGTTCCAAATGGCCGCCATACCGCCGAAAATCTGAAAATCCACGCTTTATAGGCCCTGGAGGTCCTGAATAACAGGAACACCAAGTGATTTGTATCTAATTGCGATTCGGTGTCATATCGAACTAAAAAAATCCAATAGCTGTAACTAATGTCGTCTCTGCCAAAAGAGATATCAGTACAAACTATTGGTGCTATCCCTAAGCCTTGATTTCAGGCTTTTGTATCTGTTTCGTGAAGGTTTTCTTAAGCTATGTAGTAAATTTTAGGTCTATGGCAAGCCGGTTTCCTCACGATGATCTTCTTGACTGACTGATTCTATTTGTTTGAAAATAATTAAATGAAGGTTCTTACATAGGATAACAGCCAGAAGAAATTTAAACTAAGCTAATGATTAAAAGTAGATTGTGATCTATTATCATTACTTGTGGGTACTGAAACACTAATTGTACACACGTACTGCTGAATTTTCTTTTAGACTTTTTACATATATATCATACATAAGTACCTATGGGATGGATTTTTATTTATTTACACAAATTACGAAGTAAAAGTCTAATTGGTTGGTTTCGAAGAAACTTTATGTACAGTAAGGGTTTGTTTTACAATGTATGGATAAAGTACCAAATAGCTATGCAACACATAAATTATTTGAAAGATAAATTGTGCTATTTGACACTTCATCGGACTCATAACTTATGATGGAATTTATGTGACGAATAGCGCTATCTGACCGTCGTGAAACGCAACAATAGTGTTTATCCTTCCAATAAGTAATAAATAGCTACTTTGGAACTTATGTAGAACTAATCCGTACATTGTGAAACAGACCCTTAAAGTAATTCGTTGTATGAAGAAACAAATGAACCTGAAGGTTTTCCATGGAAATTGGCATGTGAAAGCGACCTTTAGAGCCCCGCAAACTATAAACTTATTTGCCGATAGTTTGATCGGATGGGACTTTAAGCGCACACTGGCCCAACTAAACGGCCACGCTGGTTGTGCACACCAAACAAAGAATCGGCCCACGTCTCCAAAATGATGTTCTACACTACAACTTTTTGGTTTGAAGTGGTCTCATAAGTTCGTAGTAATGTACATAAATACGACATTTCATGAGGTACAGCTTCAGCTTCTATACAACTGAGGACAAAGCTTATAAAGAGAAATCGGAGGATCGGGTGTGTATAGCGGCAGATTAAACAAAATCTGTTTTTTTTCATGGACAAATTGACATGATGCATTCCAATTTTCTAGATTACTCGGAAATATTTTTGCCTTTTATCGACTGAGCATATCCAATTTGTAGCGATTAAACTGTCGGGTCTGTGTGCACCCATCTTCCGCGAAATGTTTATTAAGTAGTTGGCCCATAGTTCAGTTTGACTACATTTAACTTATTATACAGAGAAAGTTTTGTAGCGACATCTTCAATCTGGGGCTATAAGAATCCAGGCTGGCAAGACTGTATATTTACTAAATCGACATTGTAGTAGTTGTAGCTACAGATTATAGATGGCGCTATAATTAAATTGTACATCAATTTAAATTTTTTGTTAATCGGTGTTAATATGGGTCGTAAAAAGGAATAAAAATTAAACATCAATTACACTTTATTGAATAATTTATACAATATTGGATTTACAACACATAATGAGTAAATTAAGATGACAGCTGTAGAAACATAATATGAAGCTAAAAGTTTTAAGGTTCGGTAGGCTTACATATATATTTAAAACTTTAAATGAAATTACACCTGTAGTAAGTATAAATAAAACTTTGATCAGGCGTTCCTCCAAGACATTATTTCATAATACATCATTATGAGAAGCATAGTAATATGTATGATTGTATACGGCTGTGTTAACAAGTGAAAATAAATGATAAACTTTGGTTAATAGACTACAAGGGTAGGATTCAGGTGGGAGACGTGATGCCAACTTGGTTTTCTCCCCAAATTTAGGGGAATCTAGACGTCCAGGGGTTTTTTTTTCATTTACGAAGTACTTTTTTTAGATTTTTTATAAACGCACGATTCTATACAATTTATTTACTATGTAGGTAGCCCCGAACAAACTAACCCAAATATAAACTCCAAGCGTATATAATATAACAATAACTAAAATATAACAAGCTATAACACTCAAATATCGAAATAAAAGCTAATTTATACTACTTGAATGTATTTTAATGCATATTTGAAATTACATCTCAAACCGAGTGTACAACAAACGCTTTATTCTTAAAGTTGGTCCTATGGGGAACATTCTGTAGAAGTTGGCAACACTGGACATACTGGACATTATAGACATAGTTCGCGCTAAGTCTGGATATGAATCTTTATCCTTAAAAACAGTTTCTGTTATTATTACTAAACCAAAGCTTTGGTAAAATAATAATAATATTACATTTGATGATTAAGGGAGGAATAACTTTCCCTGTCTTTCGAGTATTGACTAATTACATTTTATATGGGTAATATATATTTGAAAATCACTACCGAACCTGGTGATATCGTTATCGCAATGAGCATTTTACTTATACTTCAAAGGTTTTTAATAAAGCTAATGAATATATTTAAATTATAAAATCAACTTTCATTGTCGACCTAAATTCAGTAATCGGTTACGGTAAGACACAGTAAGAAAAAAAGGGTGCGTGTACGTTCAATTGTATTTCCAAGTCTTCAGTTATATTTTCAAGAAGTTATACTTCTTTGGCATTATTAAAAATAGTTTTTGATTGCATGCAAATAATTAATTACAATTTAATAATCAAAGACTGGAAAAGGAGTCATTATAGTCAATAAAGTTCAGTTTACAGTTGCAAAATGAAATAAATAAATATTTATTATTATTCTCTTACATTAAGTGTAACATAAATTCTATTATTATTCGAATGTTGTTTTTAAATTATGTCCAATGCCGTAGCATCTTCCGTGGGCAACTTCATTCTGTTAATTTTGTGTCACGGTGCGCGCGCATCGTAAAATTTCACTATCATCAATTTTTCATAACGCGCCTAAAGAAGTATAACTTCAAATATTATATTTTTAATACAGTGGGGTGATTTAAAAAGTCAGTAATATCCACGCAGAAAATGCTGCAGACATCAGTGACTTACTGTAAAATAAGCATGTGATGCTGATGCTAAAAATAAGTTACAAAATTCCTTGAAATTTTTTTGAGAATTTGCAGGTGAACTTAAATAATTTAATAGGTGAAACACAATAATTGTGAAATTTACAATCATAGAAATCATTCTGGCTATGGAAGTAATCACCATAATATTTTAATGTAGTATTGCGTAGCCGATTCTGATCTTTTACAAATTATAACAAAGAAGGCCGTGATGTAAACTAACTATGACGCTTTTCGCGGATAACATTACAGGGCACTGCCTTGATTCTGTAGTGA